TGCTGAAGATGTTTTTGTGCTTATGTGCTGGACTGGATCAGGCCCTTCAATGGAAACTTGTGTCAGACAATGAAGAATAGTAATATTGCAAGCTAACACTGAAAATTGCAAGTACCATCAAAACCCTTTGGTAGGAAGGGGTGACAAAACCTGACTGACTCTTATGGAGGATCTTCTTTCTCCTGTCAGTCCTTGCTTCACCAGTGCCTGTCCCTTTGGAAAAGCTGATTGGTACAACTGCTTCAGCTCTGATGTGAGAGCTCACAATGAGTCCTGTATTACACAAAATTTAAGTAAAGAGTTCCTGCCCCGGGGGGATTTCAGTCTTAAAAATGAAAATAAAATGCTGTTCTGGCTTTTTGTTATTGTAGGAATGACACTTTTTCTTTGCTATTTAACCCAGGTAATTAGTCTGATAGCAGCACAGCCCAATTCTGTCTTAAGTTTAAATCCTGTGTTTTGCACCTACAGGAGAAGATGCAAATATCTATTCTTATATCTCTTCTAAGACTGTTCCACTCTGTTGGGCTTCAGCCTGTGAAAAAGGTTTCAGCCTTTCTGTCTACTAAGATATTTTAATTCTTGCTTCACAGCTGCCTTTTTATTATATTTTTAATATCTTAGTATAAGTTGGTGCTACCTGTAACATTTTGAATGCTTCATGAGCCACAAGCAAGCTTTGAGCTCCTCGTGCAGTTAGGCAGCCTGTTTGGAAGCCCTGCCCTGTTCCCATGAGTAGTAAAGGAGCAGGTTAGAGCTAAGAAGCAATTTTAGCTTCCCAGCTTGGTTTCTGTGGGGCCACCCCAAGGAATCCAGAAGTGCAACTAACCCAGTACCTGAAATAGAACTTAGTCATGCGTGGAAGAGACTCTTCAGTCCTATGCACACGCACGCTGATGTTTTCCCTGGGCCACTAATGGACATTTTTGTGGCTGCTGAGCTTTCTGCATGTGTAATTGGCCGTTTTAGTTGCAGCCCAGTCACTTTCCCCTGGAAAGCCACTCCCCTTGTAGCTGTTGCCTCGGCAACCTGAATGTAGGAGGGGTAGAAGGGGCAGCTGTCTGCAGGAAGCAAACCTACCTGAAGATGTCATTGTGGAAGAGGAATGCTGCATGACCTCTGAGTGGGCTGGGTGCTTACCCCTTGTCCTTGCCTTTGAAAAGGTGCTGGTCAACGAGAAAAGACACTGGTAAACAACTGGTTCCTGACAGGCCACACCAATTTCAGTCTTAGCCATCCTGAAGAGGGCTTGATATCTTCAGGAAAGAGAATCAGCAGCTCTGCCTATGTCTTTGTAGCACACGACATGGGCACAAGGTTTTCTTCTCAAAATGTTTTGTAAGTGAACTATCAAACTATCAAATACAGGCTCCACCCCAACAAGAATTCAAAATAATAACAGAAGATGGAACAGAGATTAGGTTACAAAGAGATCTCAACACTTAGTTAAACTGCACTAACATTCATTCCCTGAGACAACTAAATGGAGCAGCCAATGTATTTTTGAAGGCAACTGAAGTGTTGATCATGACCAAGGGAAAATTGCATTAAAGGCCTTCATAAACCTTCAGTTAGAAAATGTATGGACTTTCATACATTCTGAGTTATCTTGGTAGAGGAAGAGGGCACAGTTCCTGGCACTGGCCACATCTTGCTTTGTTGCCCATGCTCACACTGTACTCATTTGAAGCTCTCCTGTGGTAGTGATGTCCTTATGTAACAGAACCTGCCCAGCACAGGGGCTGCAGCTTATTCTTTATTTCTGCTACTTGCAGCATAGGCACAGAGACACCTTCTGTCAACCAGAGTTTGGAGAATGTGCTTTTTCCTGGCTGCCTCAAAGCACAGACAAAACTTCTCCTTGCATCACTCTGTATTAAAGGACTAGAGAACAATGCTCGGGGTGGAGGAAATCTCTCTTGGGCCAGAGGAGAGGCATCTCAGGTCTTTGTACTGTCACAGCTCAGCAGAATAAAACCAAGCCTCCTGGTAGGGAATGTAATGAATCTAGACTCCTATGCACTAATGTGCTGCAGCTAATTGCAGCTCTAGTTTGGGACACTCAGCTCATGGCCTGTCCACCTCGCTCTCCCACCTGAACTTCTGTTTGAACCAGGTCTGTGTTTTTAACAGTGCTCAGAGCTCTTTGTTAGTGTGCTGCTCTCCTTTCTCCTTTTTCATGAGCAATGCCAGATCAACCACCAGTGCAGTTCTGGGTTTAATTTTGTTATTTTACTTTGAAAGTTGAGATTTTGGGAGGGCAGGCATGTCCTATTAGCCCCTCACTAAGCCAAAAATGGCATGTCCATAGGGCTACCATAGATATAGATGGAGCTGAAGAAGAAAGAGCATTTCTCCAACCCTTGGAGCAGCCTGAGGACAAGGTTATGAGCTGCATAGCTTGCTGACTTCCAGGCTGCTGTCACATCCAAGAATAGCATGTGAAGGGGAGCAAGTCCTTACATCACAGTTGTTACTGCAGCTTGGGTTTTGTCTTCTCAGGGACATGCCCAACCACAGCTCATTCAGACGCTTCTGCTGGAAAACAGGAGGGATGTAAAAGGCAACTGTTACTGATAAAGATGAAAAGATTAATGTATATTCTGATATTACTGCTCCAGCCCCAGAGTTCTTGTTTGTCTTATCTAATCTGCATGTCCCTTTTGTTCCAGATTTGGGCCCCTTTCCTCCCTGTCTGACTAAATATATACTCAAAAGCTAGCCTTGAACATATTGGTACATAGGAGCCCCTCTGGATGGGACTCAGCAACTCATCTCTTGTGTTTGGCAGGCATGAGAGCATGGGACCAGGACAAAATGTCCCCTCTGCCTAAACCATCCACCTCCATGGGCCATCTTATTTCATAGATACACGTGCCAAGTTGCTGATTTGCTGAGAAGCTGGATGTGGTTTCCTCTGTCTTTTTCCAGCCACACACTGGTTGCAGCTGGAAGAGAGTGTGCAGCAAGACAACGTGTCCCACTTCTCATTTGTGAAACCTACCTGTCTGTTAAAGCCTCATTCCATGATGCTCCCTGCAGGGAAATGGGGAGCAGGTGTATTTTCACTTCAGTTTTATTTTAGTGTCTAAAAAGAGAGCAAAAGCAAGCAGTGCATGGCTGTTTTTCTCTGTTTTAATATATAAAATAAGCGTTTTCCAACATCTTTTTAAATGAGGAGAAAAATCATTCCCAGACCTTGCTCTTTTAGAAGACACTTCTAAGTCATTAAGTCCTGAATTCCACAAAAAGAAAGCAACAATCTCTCTTGCTTTAGCCCCAGCAGCTGTTTCACTACCTTCCCCTTAAGCAAACCAGGTGGACTTGAACATTTTTATTCCATCCTACTGGATATTTTCTGTCCAGCCCTCACGAATAACAGAGGCTTAGTGAGGCTTAAAAAGTGTGTGCAATGCTGTAGAGTTGGGCACAGCAGTAGCAGGCAGGAGGTCACAGCTGAGTCCCAGCCAGGTTGGAACAGGGTGGAGCTGAATTTTCCTGGTTTCCCATGATGAGGAGTGAGTGATCAGCAATGCCTCTTTTTCCTTGCAGCGGATGGAAAGAAAGAAGCTCCATGAGCTCCTGAGAATTGTATTCAGTGCTCCTCAGCTAACAGGGAAATTCCTAGAAGAAACTAAAGGAGGGACAATGTTGTCCTGTTCCACAGGTTAACATGCCCTTTAAGAATCAGGAAGGTGCAGAGTGGAGCTCCCTGCTGTGTGTGTAGATCTGGAGGGACTGGAGCCTTACGACGTTCACAAGCTCAGTGATGTTTCTCAATAACGGTAAGTCCTGGAC